ACAATAAGTTTGGCAAGCTCTTTTATTGTCACCAGTTACAGTTTTCAAACTTTGTAATAAGTTTCACATTTTAAACTTTGTCAAAAGTTCTTCACAGTTGCAATTTATTAGTCGCAGAAGTTGGTCAACCCAAACTTTCCAATAATGTATGCAGTTTTGTATGAGGAAGATGTGAGTACATATCTGTGCTTTGATTCATGATTAATCAATTTTCCTTTTCTAATTTTGGAGTGAAAGGATGACTGACTATTTCATGAAATGCCCATTGCCATGTTTCAACTTATTCTAAAAATGTACAGGAGAATAAAAAGGCATCTATGAATTGATTGAAAAATGCTATAAATTTCTTTTTAGATCATATTTTTAGAGGTTTCAAGATGATTGGGTTTTCCAAAAATTAAAGGCTTGGCAGAATATATAAGTTTCAATTTGTACACATAATGATTATAATACCTACCTTGCAATCCAACCTCTCACAATTTGACCATCCCACAATTTGATGGTCAAATTTGCAGAGAGGTTGATTTTCAATCTGACCCTTTGTCATGCAATTTGACTTGCTTTGGCCCATTTTTTGCATTTTTGTACTGATATTTTTGAATTTCACAAAGTGTCTTTCCATTTGACTGCTTTGCAATTTAACCTCATAAGTTTGTTAATAAATTCAGGTCAAATTGCAAGGTACCATCTGTATTGCATACTCAATTCTTTCACCTAATAATCCGCGCAAAAAGTATTGTATACTGAATATATCCACCAAGAATTTGCGAAAAGCAACTGCTTTCAGTCCTCACCTTGGAACAAGATATCCTCATATTTGAGTGATCACGTGGTATTTCCGCCGAAATTCCCTGATTTTCTATTTTTTATTTTAGTTCTTTTTTTTCACTGGTCAAGTGTGGAGATGATTCGAGACGGAAATCGGAAATGACGCCTGTCACTTTCGTGGACATGAGGGTTTATAGCCGAAGCTGCTGCTTTTTCTCTAGAATATTTCCTGGTTTTTTTTGTTTTTTCTTTTGTGGGGAAAAACAGTTATTTGATTCGATGAGGGGAAGCCTTGTGAATTGTTTCGAGCGGAGGGGTGTTCAAACCTTTGCAGAAGCTGTAGAAGAAAAATGTTTTGACAAATTTTCCCTTTTCCATGGCTTATTGTTGCACTTTATTGCAAAGTTGGCGACTTTTTTTTATAAATTCTTCATATTTGAACTTTTTCTGTTTTTATTCAAGTTTTTCCAAAGTTTCACAAGATGAAGCTTGAAATGATTTTATGACCAGTTCAAACTTTTTCATTATTTTTTCCTATAGGTTGAACTTTTTCTCAAGGTTATATAGCTACTCAGTTTTTGTCATACAATAAGTTTGGCAAGCTCTTTTATTGTCACCAGTTACAGTTTTCAAACTTTGTAATAAGTTTCACATTTTAAACTTTGTCAAAAGTTCTTCACAGTTGCAATTTATTAGTCGCAGAAGTTGGTCAACCCAAACTTTCCAATAATGTATGCAGTTTTGTATGAGGAAGATGTGAGTATACAAATCAGTGTTTTGATTCATCATTCATCCATTTCCCTTTTATAATTTTGGAATGCAGGGATGACTGATTATTTCATGAAATGCCCAATGCCATCTTTCAACTTATTCTAGAAATTTACAGGAGAATGAAAAGGCATCTATGCATTGATTGAAAAATGCTATCAATTTCTTTTTAGATTATATTTTAAGAGGTTTCAAGGTGACTGGGTTTTCCAAAAATTACAGGCTTGGCAGAATCTATAAAATGCAATTTGCACACATAATGATTATAATACAGGGGTTACCTTATTGCAATTCAACCTCCCACAGTTTGATGGTCAAATTTGCAGAGAGATTGATTTTCAATCTGACCCTTTGTCATGCAATTTGACTTGCTTTGGCCCATTTTTTGCATTTTTCTACTGATATTTTTGAATTTCACAAAGTGTCTTTCCATTTGACTGCTTTGCAATTTAACCTCATAAGTTTGTTAATAAATTCAGGTCAAATTGCAAGGTACCATCTGTATTGCATACTCAATTCTTTCCTATTATATTTAATTATATGCACAATTTTTTTCATGAAATGCTCTGAACAGCATATGCATGCTGTTCATGATTTGTTTGTTGCCCATACATAACATCATGTGCCTGGTCTTTTGAAGCCAATTAAGTTGCTGGAAAAAAGTGTTTATATGCATCTGAATCCATTTTGTGAATTTATTATTCATTTGTTTATAAGTATTAAATTTGCATTCTGTGCATGGTTTCTGTATCCCATTAAAATTCAATTCCTGATTAATGCATAAGAATGTGCAGAATTATAGTGTTGGACACATAGATCCTGTGCATAGGTTTGCCAACCCTTGGCCTGAGAGGAAACATTTTCAGGGAACACTAGCCATTGTTTGTAGATACACATCATCCAAGGGATACCTTTCAGCTATTGTTAGGAGAATTCTATCCACTTTTTTTCATCCTACCATTTTTCCTGGCCTGTTGTAGGCGGAAGTGATTTTCAATCTTTATTGACAGTGGTGTGTGTATGCAGTTGGCATGCTTCATTTGTGTTTTGTGAGAACCCCTGGGATCAAATTTATTTCAACTTTCTCTCAAATAATTGAGTGCATTATATTCAAGAAAAGAGGGTTTTGTGTGCTCAGAGGAAATCCGAGCTTAAATTCTGATGCAATGTCAAGGTCTTGGCATTTCTTGAGAGATAAGTTCGATCTGACACATGGAAAATAATGATAAAGAGTTGAAAAATTTTACGATGAAATAACGTTCCTGAAAATGTCAGACATACAGTCAACTGAAATTAGCACAAGTGGGTGTGTCACACGGAAATTTCAATATGATTGGTCCCTACTGACGAGGATTACTTCTTTCTCGTGCAAAATTCACCGATGGTGAAATGAAATTTCCTTGACCTTTTGCCAAAAAACGGTTCGAGTGTTTAGGAATTTCTTTCCTTAAAACCCGGGGTGTTGTATCATGGAGATAATTTTCAAGTCGCTGCATAAATTATTTTTCAGTTTTCGCTGAATGAGAAAATTTTTATGAACCTTGTTTTGTAGCTTCATATATATTTATGCATCAGTAAAATTGATTCTGTAAGTTTTACGTTTTGAATATTTTAAAGAATTTTCAGCCTGTAGTCAGTCGATGAATATTAAAAAAAAAAAAAACTACCTGATCGAATCAAGGTTTTGTTTTTGTTCGATAGACATCTGGAGGAAAATTGATTGAAAGCCATGAATAGCTTTCTTCATCAGCATGAAAACTAGAAAACTGGAATTTTCCCGAATTTTCAGGCATTCCTCTACATAATACAGCATCAGTGACGAAATCTTGCTGCTGCATATCCATCATGGTATACCCAGAAAATTCATTTCTGTGTAACAAAAATTTGTTGTAACAAAATTTGAATAATATTGTGGCTATACAATATTGAACAAGAGCCTTGAAAAATGCCATATGGTAAAATATGTATTGTAATAACAGCATTACTAATCCCACTGCTGTTTGGCTTCTTTCATGTAAAGGTTTGAAATTTTCACTTGAAGGAAATTAACCAAATCTTTTGTTCACTCATAATACGGAAGCAAGTTGCTCCCTTGTTATGTAGATTATGAAAATTATTATGGTTTGGTAGCTCCTCTGATGTGCAGTGATTCATTTTTTTCTTCAGGATGAGTTATGCTTGTTTTTATTCCCAAGTTGCAGCATGCATACAATGGAAGAGCTTTGAAGGATAGGCTGCTGTTGAGAATAATGGAAGGGGAATGAACTGATACTTTGTCCTTCAAACTTTTTGATTGATCTGGAAGATTTAGAAGCTCTCTGATTCATTGCCTGACTCATGCGTGTTACACTTTTAATCCGGTTGAAAAAAAGCTTTATGATTCAAAATAATGCTCTTAGTCGTAACATCATTGATTTTATATGTCTTGTGCTGGAAAATGAGTTAAATTGCAGCTAGAAGTATATTACAATGCGTATCGGTATTTTATATGGGTTAGTGTTTTTCCATGTATGTCGGTCAGAAATACAGTGCAGTATTCCCATTTATACGAATTTAAATCTTGTACAAACATACAAGAAAAATCTAAATCTAATTTAAATCATGTATGAGGCGTAATGTATTAATAACTATAAAAGTACAATTTACAGTATATTCAACAGGTTTGGTTAGTTAGGCTAAGCTTTTGGAGGGAAGAAATAGGAATTCCTGCCTTGAAATTATTTCATCCTGACACTTTGACTTGATCTTTGATAAAGATGGCACCTCTCATCCTCAACCCGTAGAGCACCACGTGGGAGCGCTGTTCGAACCGAGAATCTATGATGGTCAGTAGTCTCTGCGTTCGTCAATGATACGCTCGGAATTTCGTTGAGAAAGTTGTCTTGTTGTGAGCAGAGTGAGTCTTAGTGGGGAGAAGTGCATAAGCGTGCAGTTTTCATGCAGGAGTATTCCGTAACGAAGTGGCGTCCTGGTTCAGCTTGACCATGATTTGGATGTGGTCTTCGCTTGTGTTGTTATGATTGTTTCAAGTGCCGTTCTTCAGTCACACAAGTGTGTTAACCCTTTTCGATGTCTGAACTTCCGCGCACAGTTGCCGTTTTTCGCCTTGACTAGTTTATTTTAGTTGAATTTCATCCCTTATGTGGACGGCATTTCGCCTCAATCTCAGGAATAGAACAACAAGTTATTCAAGGTGTTACCTCGCGCGCAAGTTCTTGTCGAGTTCTTCAGAACAACTCGGATGTCCGAATCAAACTCTTTGATAGCTGAATTATCGTTTCATTTGAGTGTAGATGCAAAGGCGAGCTTTATGCATGTTATCACCATAGTCTTCATATATCCTATTTTCGGAAGTACGCGAGTGAATGTTTCGAGCTGTTCTCGCTAGTAGTATTAAATGTGACTGATGCCAACAGTGGGCAACTGGATTTTGGCAGAACGTATTAAATTTTCTGAATGCAATGCCTATTTCAGATGTCCGGAGCTGCGTCCTCGAAAAATAATTCTAACTGGAAAAAAAGTCAGGAAAATGTACCTCGGCCCATGTCTCTGATAGACCCTGAATGGGAACTGATCGATCCGAATCCTGATATTTTCTCATTGTTCGGGGAATTTAACAAACGCTTTTTCTGGGGTGCTTTGTTCAGCGTTGAGGTTCGATGGAGTCCACGGATGACGCTGTGAGTTACGTTTTAGTAATAGTTTAGCTGATTTTGAGTATACATTTCAGGATTTTTTAGGTGTGCTGGGTTGTGTTACTATCAGCGAAGAGCGAAGTATTGTTCCATCAGGTTAAGCAAACCACTTCTGCAGCTTCGACCGAGGAAGGACTTCATTGAAACGTTATTGGTGAGAAATATTCGTAGAACTTGAAAAAACGAATTCTGACAAGTTCTTTTTTTTTCAAGCATGAAATGATTCACGCATACTTGTTCGTGACGGAAAACAATTCGGACCACAATGCTCACGGACCGAATTTTCACAAGCACATGTACAGGATCAATGCTGAAGCTGGAACGAAAATAACGGTGGGCTTTATTGAAGACGAGAACGGATGATTTCCCTGAAGAGGAAAGACCTTGATTCAAATTTTTATCTTTCGAATCCATATTTAAAGAATTCATTTGTATCGCGAGAAATGAAGCAACTTAAATGATTTAAAGAGACGATATTCTTCGTATTCCTCGTCTAGTTTTTAATGTCCGAATCCCACTGAAGATAGCCCTGCTTTTTTTTCCACTGGCAAATGATGCTTCAATTTTGTGCGAATTAATTTAAGTTTAACCTGATATTTACTCGTCACTACTGTCGACAGTGATTTTTATCAGAGCTGATGCTATATATGCAAAATAACCTGAAACGTAAGTGGGAGGATATTCTCTGAATATTCATGGTTTTCGAGAAACCACTGTGAAGCACGTTCAATTTCAGCCTGCACGGCTTTATAATTTTTTATTATTATTTTACAGGTTTATCACAGTTTTCATGACGAAGTGGATCATTACAGACAACATTGGTGGCGCTGCGATGGGCCATGTCAGAAAAAGCCGCCCTTTTTCGGCATCGTTAGACGTTCCATGAATCGCGAACCAGGACCTAATGATCGGTGGTGGGACGAGCATCGACAGACGTGCAACGGGAAGTATCACAAAATCCGTGAACCTGAAGGATACGGGAAACCGAAAGGAAAAGCCGTGAGCAAATCAAGTGATGTAACGAAGTCAAGAAAGGAGAAAATTCTCAGCCAGAAAGTGACAGACCCGAAACAAACGAAAATGGACGCGTTTTTAAGTTCCCCATCCAGAGAAAAGAACGACTTCACGAAGGCATCGGTTTCAGGAGAAACAGCTAGTGGCTCATTGAGCGCGAACTCGGATATTAAGGAAGAATCCTTGAGCTACGATCAGGAGCTGAAAGAATATGAGCAATGTGAACGTGATGTGGTGAATCGAAAGCGAGATTGGAGCAAGTTGGGAGTTTCTGTGTCCAACTCTCAACCGATTTCAAATCCGAAAGCATCACGCTTGACAGATAAAATACCAAAACTATCAACTTCTGCGGAAATTGTGAAATGCCCAGTGTGCAACTCCTCCGTGGCAGCAGACCTTGTGAACTCACATCTTGACGAATGTTTGAATGAAGGCTTTTTGAAAACAGAAACCTCGAATGCTGGTAATATTGACGACTCCGTCGAGGATTTAGGTGATGACGACGTGATTCCATGCGATGACGATATTTCTGAGGTGGAAAAAAATTCTGTAATTTGTCCAGTTTGCTTTCAGTCGCTTACCATTGATGTAGCATCTGATCATATCAATGCGCATTTTAATGATTGATGTCTCGATTTTTTCAATTTGATGGAATTTTGGAGAATTAGCTCGTAAGTGCGGAGTGATTCGCCTGCCACTCAACCGACGAAAACGTGATAATTTCAAAACCGTATGATCATGAAAGAATATTTATTATAATAAGGTTAGTCTCTTTATAAGGAAGACGAACATTCCTGAAGTTTTCCATGAGAAAACCCTTTGACTCGCTTATGTCGAAATTCAGCAGTCTGTCCTGAGTTTTGACACTAACTCCTTCCAATTTCCGTGAATTGGAGGACATCAGTTTATTATTTCTCTCTTACGCGCTAAACACTGGTTATCACTTATCTTCGCAATGATATAAGGATGTTTTTTCCGTGGCCCGCATTTTGAAAATTTCCTTTGACCAGAAGTTCAAAATTCTATGCTTACAGGTTCCTCCAGTAATTCGTTTTGGTGTGGTTAGAGTAGCGCGAGAATCACACTGTATATTTTAATAGTGTACCAGGGAGCAATTCCTTGCAATGTGATACCGAAACGGTGGATATTTTTGTCGCGTTTTCCATTGATGCTGTGCAACAATGCGAATGAAACTTGTGAAACTCTGCTCATTTTCTTGTGAATTATTATTAGTATCTCTTCTGATCCTTGCGCGGTTTCATCTGCACGCAATTCGAAATCCTGTTCTCATTGAACACGTTGTGCGCTAGTTGTAGGAAGAAATGGCTTCTGGTGATTCAAAAATTGCTCCCGGCGATGTGGTTTGCACCAGTTTCAATGGATTTGTAACCGTATTCAACACACATTTGGATGCATCTGGGACGCGTGAAACGTTCAGGAAGGAATTGAGCGAGGCGCCGGATTTGCTCAAAGCATATCGTCGCGTCAAAGACATCCCGGTTGTGCCAAAAATTAAGGTTCTTCCGTCAACTTTCACCAAAGATTCGTCAAGGGCGGAGCAATTGAAATCCGACGGCGAAGCGGCTTTGAAAATGGAGGACTTCAAACTGGCGTTGGTCAAATTCAATGGGGCCGTTCTGCACGCGAAAAGCAACGTCGTTTTAGCAGATATTTACTTGCGTAGAGCGAAGACCTTGTTTTGCATGAAAGATTACCTGGGTTGCCTGGAGAATATTTCTATGTCTTCGAATATCAATCCAGGTGATTAATTTTGGCTTTTAAGCGGAACATTTTTTTGGATTTTCATCGAGACGAGATGTTCCGTCAAGGGAATTTTTCTTACGAATAATGAGTTTTTTATAGAACTTTCTGGACGGGAAGACTTGATGAAAATGAGGGAGGACGCTTCTAAATTCTTACAAGAAGATGGCATTCAAGACCCACCATCAAGCCACGTGGCATTGTATGAAGGAGGAGGTGAATCAACAACCTGTGCTTTGTCAAGTAAAGTTGAAGTCGAGTATTCAGAAACGAAAGGGCATCATATGCTGGTTCGGTCACCGATTGACGTAGGTTAGTAGAAATGCGACAAGTTTTCTTCGATACGATACGAGGACGGAAAAATTCAAGACCACGGATTGGGAGTTTCCACAAAATAGAGACTTCCTTTTCGGTAACTGGTCGATTGCGGACAATTTTTCTGAATTGCAAGACAGAGAATATATTATGCATTTTGCGGTAATTACTCTCAGGTGAAAACCTAGGGGATGAGTCCCCAACAGCCGCGATTTTATATCCAAGATTTTGGGAAGATCATTGCCAACATTGCATGAAATGGGCCAAAACTCCCACTCCGTGTTCAGAATGCGCAGCCGTTGCTTATTGTAGCCAAGGTTGTTTGAACATGGACCAAGCCAAGCATTCCCTCGAATGTGCCGTGATGTATAATCTTCTTGGGAACGAAGTCGGAGATGCCTTGATCCATCTGGGTTTCCGGATTATGAGAGATGTGCCTGTGCAACTGTTGATGGATAACGCATCTCTCTTTGAAAATCTTGGTTCTCGATTGCGTGAAAGTAACACGGATCCGAAAATCCATCGTCTTCTTTGCTTGAGTGTTTTGAAGTCTAGCGGATTTGGCGAACTTTTGGCGAGTGCTTGATCAATTTCCCCGAAAGTCAAGCTACATTCGAAAGGAATAATGTACAATTTTTCAAAAGCCTGAAGACAAGTTGGAGGTCATATTGCGAACGATGTACGTCACCAAGCTGTTGGAACTCACTTGTCCGCTCCAGTATAAAAATTTGCCGATTCACGAAGCAGAATTTCTTGGCCGTATACTCGTAAAGATCTTACTCGGAATCAAGAACAATTACTTCTCGTACGATTGCGTCGTCTTGAAGTCGAATGGCCAGTTTGAAGCGAAGAAACCCGTTGGGGCCGCGTTGAGTTTAACGAGGTCTTTCATCAATCATTCGTGTCTGCCAAATGCTTGCGTTTTCTGGGGCAAAGGTCGATCAACCTTGGTGGCCCTGAGGCCTATTCATGTCGGAGAGGAGATCACTATTTCATACATCGACACAGATTTGAAGGAAACTACGGAAGAACGGCGGGGGAAAATCGCAAACCTGTTCGGATTCAAGTTAGAATCAAATTGTTCAAAAAATTTTTCGCTGGGTATTTTCTTTTTTCTAAACCCTGAGTAAAAGGTGTAGAAGTTGAGTTGACGAGGGATGTTTCTCAAGATTCCTCAGTGCTTGTGAATTGTGAAACTCAAGTTAATGAGATAGGATTCTTTGAAATATTGTACTGTACTACAAAATTATGTCTTGCTGCCTTTCTTTTCTCCGTGCCAGTTTCATGTCCCGTAGTGGAATGAATTTTCAACTCCCCTCGCACTGTTCCATTCGGGTGAGGAAAAATTGAAACATCATGAAATTATCAAATATCTTTACACAGTACAGAATCAAAGCATCGGGAACGGGATGCGCAGGAAAAACGAAAATCATGATTTAACCCACTTAGGTTGATGTTTTGTTTGAGGGAATGCTTTTTATTCAGTCATGAATGATCTTACAATCACAGATGCGAGTGCATGTGGTGCATTTCGTCAAACACCAGCCCTGAGGTCATGTTCCAAACGGAGCCCAACCCGGTAGCCTTCCTGTGTCCGCGTGTACCGTGCATGGGTGTGATTCGACGACGATTAGAAACGTGTCCGAAGTGCGGCGAAGATCTAGGAGAATCGTTTTTCAGCATTCTGCAGTCCATGACAGGATTAGCACAGGCCATTCAGGGAATAACTGAGAAGCATAGTTATTCCATGGGTCGTGTCAAATTGATGACTGGTTTGCAAGTGTTGGGCAACTTTCGATGGATGCCGTGTCAAGTGATTGGATTATTCGCTCAAAGTTTACTCGCGTTACGGTTTTGCCTTGAAATTGAACGTGGAGACAAGGTCTCGAGTGTTGCGTTTGCTTCTTGAAAATTATCTTGTACCGTTGAACAAAGATCTGGGAGATATTATGAGTATCCTCGACAATCTTTTTATTTTTTGTAAGCTTCTCGAGGAAAGTGAAGCGTTAGTAACGCGGATTCTGTGATTCTAGTGATCTTTCGGATTTGCGGGAATTTCGTTGCCTGAATCAGCAGGCTTATGAGCTCGTTTTGTTTCATTCAATGTGTTGATCGGTCACTTCTAATTTTTTTTTTTCATTTTCCAAGGATGCATTCGATTTTTAGCTAACATGGAATATTCTGTTCTCAGAAGAGAGTGATCAGTGAGATAACTGTATTGCAGTACAGTACAGTATTTTCAGAACTCCGTTGTGCTCCGAAGAATGGCTGAACCAATACTGAAAGAAAGATTTCGCCGAAAATTCGAATCGAATTTAGCATTTGATCAGAAAGTGAGTGGTTTTCAATTTTTAAGGTCTTTGGGAATTTTAATACGGTATATGTATGCTTCTCTCAGGTTCGGGATCTGCGAGCAGCTGGTAGGACAATTTACCACTTCGGATTTGGATTGTCACCGTTCAGACCACCGAAAGTTGCCCAAGAGGCCTTGAAATTGTTCGTTCATGAACATGAATACGTAGACGTTAGAGGTAATTTTCAATTATTTTTTTTATATTTTATCGTACTTGAGGAATCTTTCTGTTCTCAGGACTACCTGAACTGAGAACTGCAATTGCGGAATTGCACAGAAGAGTCGAAGGTCTCGAATTGGATTCAAATCGGCTGATCGTCAGCCCCGGAACGAAGCAAATGATTTTTCTGACGCTGTTGAATTTCAATGGAGGTAAACGCGACCTATGCTTACTGAAATTTGAAAACCTTTTTCACACAAAAAAAGTTACTAATTATCTGCTGTAAATTTATATTGTGGCAGATGTTATCCTGACGTCGCCTGCGTGGCCAACCTACATGCCGATTTGCAACATGGCCGATCATGTAAACCCTGTGATCGTGGATTCAAGTCAGAAGAATAATTGGCTTGTGACAGCTGATGATTTGGAGGCTGCTGTAGCGAAATGTTCCCCGAATTCGCACAAGCTTTTCATTCTCACAAATCCTGGAAACCCAAGTAAGCTACATTTTTCAAATTTTCGAGAATTAAACGCTAACAGCCCCCTCATTAATACATGAAAAGTCCGATAGACGTAATTTCATTATTTTCATCGTTCGTTTGTATTTTGAGAAATAATTACCAATTTAGCTAGATGACGAAGTGATTTCGCGATCATGTGATTGAAATGGAATGCGAAGTTGCGAATGATGCCATGAATTTAACGTCGTCGTTGACATGTTGCTCATGATGATTTGCCGTTTTTCTCTCCTCAAGGTGGAACTATCTACACTAAAGAAGACCTGGAGAAGCTTGCGTATGAAATTCATTTGAGCTGGTCTTCGACGTGAATTGTAGTATTTTGTTCATCTTACAGTGTCGTTTGGAGAAAACACAGAATGATAGTCTTGAGCGACGAAATTTATGCTCAGCTCATTTTTGATGGAGACTTCTGTCCTACTGCGAAAGTGAGTATGCGAATCGCAGAATTTTTACAAGTTTTCGAAAGGACCGTTTGGTCTATAATTTTGCGCGGGATTTTTTTCGTGAATGTTTCAAGAATTGGATTTTATGGTGCATGTGAAAGTTGTCGAAAGATTATTCCATTTGCGCGAAACGTAGGGATTGAGATTTGAAAGATTTCAGTACAGTAGTTGGATCAAGGAAATATTTGGACTGTATTCCAATTTTTTTTGGAGGTATTGATGCATTAATTTATAGTACCTACTTGGTTTTTGTGGATAATTCATTTTCTTATGTTGAGATAGTTTCACGGAGCGTCCATTATCAGGAGTGCCGATTTAGAATGTATTTATTTGCTCTCTTATTTCTTTGACTTTTTCATCAGGTTTATCCGGAACGGACGATCATCATGACCGGCTTTAGCAAATGGGGTTCTTCTGGGGGCTGGAGACTGGGCTACGCCTACTTTCCCGAAGAACTGGAAGATTTTCGGAAAGCTCTTGTTGCTTCTGCTGGCCAGTCTCATTCATGTGCCCCAGCACCGATTCAGTTTGCCTGGGCTAAGGCTTTGCGGGATGAACATGAGCAGATTGATGCTTATGTGCGAGATTGCCGAACTATTTTGAAGACGGTTGCGCGGTTTTGCGAACGGTTCGTGAGTTCTGCTGTATGCCTTGGTTTGCAGAGGTTGATTTTGGTATCTTTTGGATGAATTCACGTCAATGATTGATTGCTAATGTTGTACTGATAGGATCCTCAGCCAGAAGTCCTGTAGCATGCTGTCGTTTCAGATACAGATCATACAATTATTCCGGCTAAAAAATAACGTATTATTGCTAATATGAAGCGCTAGAACAATTCCGAGACACAAACTGTTCCATCATTTTGAATGGAGATTACTTTATTGCAGTGAGTTACGGAGTGTTGGCGTCACGTTCTCTCCAAGTGAAGCTGGATATTATTTTATGCCAAACTTCGAAAACTGTCGCCCAGGGTTAGAAGCGGCAGGAAAATCCAGCGGACAAGACATGGTCGACATCCTATTGGATGAATACGATGTTGCCGTGAGTTACTTGATCTTGAAGTAAAACAAGTCAATTGCAGCGAATTGTAGACTTGAAAAGAATTTTCTATTGTTAATGTCGTGGTTTTGTATCCCTTGATATAGCTGATGGCTGCCAAAGCGTTTTTGCTGCCGCAAAAATCCCTGATATCAAGATTTTGTTTTGTCAACTTCGACGGTGACGCATTTCTCGACGCCATGAGAGTTCGCGAGAAGAACTGGATGACGAAAGGGATCAGTGTTAATGACGATGATGTAAAAACGCAATGTCCACTGCTTGCGGCGGGGGTTGAGAAGGTCAAGGAGTTCGTTAAGAGATTCTCTAATTGATCAGCTTTTGAATTTGAAACGCGTCGTTCATGTTGCGCGGTATATTCTTGAATACTTGATAAATAACATTTCATATCCGGTGCTATTGATGAGTGATCTTTCTGGTGCTTCCTGCTGGTGATTGAAACACTGATTATGTGAATACTTTTCAATGTTTGCTTGGGAAAGTCGTCAGTTTTGAAAATACAGCCAGGATATATTTTCTTGCATTTTCTTTCTCAATTATTTCAGTGATATGTTGTGGATGTGTTGAGAAATGACCAGAACAGCAGATCAATCTGCAAAATGTGCAGATAGGATTCTCTCAACCATAAAATTTGACTGACCAGAGAAAATTTATCCTGGAGAGAATTTCGTTGTTGAGAATCGCTATAACATTGGGAGCAAACTTCATACAGAACCAAAAAAAAAAAGAATTATTTTAGACAACGGTTGAAGAGATGAGCCCGCCTGTGTAATTAGTAAATCCTGTGTGTCGCCGTATGTCTTCAGGGTTCGTCAAATGAGGTCTGGTATGCTCGCACCAGCTCTGGTCAATGAAGGATGACATTACAGCCTGTGTCACGGGCACCAGCACATGCTGTAAGTCAAATACAGTAATATTGTCTTTCGAAATCAATAATCCCTCCGGATTCGATAAGAGGAAAAAGTAATTAAAAATGAGTACAATACTGTATTGATCAATTTTCTTACATGTTCCAAGATTTGTTTTTGTCGTTCAACAGAAGTCATTTAAGTCGACGAGAAGTCCTCCATCCAATGAAATAATGGATATAGCTGTAATATTAAAGGGATAATCACTTCCATCCGTATACAGCATACAGTACTGTATTACCCGAAAAGTCCCCGTACAATGCGAGTATTAAAGCGGCAACAATGAGTCCTACTGTGTCATCCGGAATGGTTCCTCTGTTTTGCATCAGGTTATCGACGCGTTTACTATACTGTACGTATGTTCCTCATTTCAAGTGTACGTCATACTCGCATTGTTTAATGGAGGCTATGGTTGTGCTGTGAGTCATTCCGTCACACAAATCATCACAAGCGTGTGATATTCCATATAAAACGTTAAAATCACTCGTGGGCATCATTCTTGTTGTGGTACTGCAATGCTGTGCGTTGATTCGGTTGAGAAGGATGAACTCACATACGACAGCATATGTGTGAACTACCACACGATGCAATGGTGCGAAGTGTGCGTCACAATCTTCTGGTAACTCAGATAGCAAGTGATGTTCTCATCGATTCGGGGTTACGCCTGTGGTTGGACGATGCAAGGCAGCTGTGTGGATTGAGAATGATTAAGAACTGGAGAGGTACTCTGAAATTGAAATTTACCAACAATCTTCTGTCATTTATCAATCATCCATGCTGGATGATTGCGTGTGCTGCTGAACTCTCGGCGGGCAGACGAAGATACAGCTGTTCGCGTGATTGGTATACATGCTAACATGACTCATATTATTCTTCTGGTTCATGTCCATAAAACTATAATATGTTACCGCTGAACATAATGATTCCTACTTATAGTTGATCTTGTTTACTGCTGCTAATTGCCGCAGATTGAATAATTTGCGCATTTTTCCTTATTTTCATTTCGAAGAATGACGTTTCGTGAAGCTATTGCGTTCAAGCTGCAAGAACCATGACGGCGATGCAATTCGGCCGCAGTTTCTTGGATAGCGTCAGTGCGACGACGTGGGACAAATTTTCGTCGCAGAAAAATGTCGCCGCTACGTCCAGTTTTATCCGTTCATCGCTCAACCGTGCGGCGAGATGTAATGCAGTTCCTGCTGGTGCACATGCGATCGGTTCGGCCGATTCGATCTTCGACATCGGGTAAGCTAATGTAGATACGATCATAAGAAATGTTTATTGGGTGAGTGTATATGGCGTGTATGTAAGCCAACGGAATAAGGCTCCGCATAGTCATGCTTCGAGGTATTCAGAAGCTTAATGATGCTCTGTTATACGAACGAGAGTTATTTATTGCTGCTGTACCTGGATAGTTATAACAATGTTGATGTATGAGCTAAACTGCTCAATTGTTACGAAACTACCGTACATCTCCATTTGAAGCGTATTACGATCCTTGAATACGTTTTGAGTAGGCTCAGGGGAAAAGTAGGATTGATTCATGGCGGGTTGGATGACGCACATGCAGTAATTCGAAACATTCATGTGTGAGGCCCGCGGATGCCCAACGTTGTATGCACGAAGTACGGAATTATCAACTTTGTCCCACCAATCCACCATTGCAGAGCTGACGATTCCAATGTACATCGAAAGCACGGATATTCGCGTGCGAGCAGAGAAAATCGCGACATGGGCGAAAAGGGATGGCAAGAACTGCCGCTGAACGAGGATCAGTACCTGGAAATGCACACAGACGATAGCGGGACAGGAAATAAAAATTCTTTGGTGACGGTACGAAATATAACGGGATGTGGAGGTGTCGGAACTGTCATTCATTCTGCTGATCCTCGGAAAAAATCTAACGACGTTCAGTCGTCTCGGAAAGTTAAAAAGACACCAGCATTACCTACGGTGTTCGATGAAGATAGTGAGAAGGTTTGATGAATACTTTTGTTTGATTCCATTCACCGTCGAAATCTTTCATTCGGGTTTTTTTTCCGACTCAGCAAGCGGAGGAACTTTCAAAGTTGGTTTCCAATAAAATCCAGGACGTGAGCCGCGTCAAGTCATTCACGCCGCATTCTTTGGATGCATTTGTGCAGTCGAAGATTTCCGTGGATAATTTGCTGATTCGTCTGTACGGTAAGGAAATACGAAACATTCTATCAATAATTTTGCTTGAGTGTTTACTATTCGTTGTCAGGTATTTTGCAGGAAGTCTCTCCGACGCTACGTCGAGTTCCATTCCAGCCGTACTGTATTGTTGCCTTCCGCGATGCAGCAAAAAATACTGTAATCCGGGGCATCTGTTATCTCGAGTTCGGAACAAGTTTTCGCGACCTTTTTGTGGGTGGGGGCAATGTCTTCGTCTGGTGAGTCATTTTTGTCCTCTTTATTTTTGCATACGATATGCTGATCCGTATAATGAAAACAGACTACTGTACATGCGGTGAATATTACGTTGCGTAAAATCCATAAATCCTCGATATACTTGTTGAATTTTGTCTAATTCATTGGGCAATATTTGAATGAGTCACCCGAGAACTTATGTAAGGTTTGATTTGTCGAGTTCCATATGTTTGGAACAGGTCATTGGCTGGTCTGTATAAGGTTGAATTGATTCGGGTGCGTTAGTTACAATATTTGCATAGTTTGCATTTGGTTACCTGATTTCAAATTATACACGCATTATTTTTACTTGAATGAGGTTATTTTGTCACGTCCGTGATCATAGTGCCGCCTGACATTCCAAAAGTAAGATCAGACTTCGGAACTAAAAGAATCATTCTTTCGATACATCTTGATCCTTTATTTCCTGATGAGTGTTATGAACAGCGCTCGATAATACGTTATGTTGGTTTAATTTTTATCCCACCGCAACTCTTTTTAACCCTTGGAAGAATCTGGAACCTCTTCAAATGATTATTTTCAATTTAATGATCAAGATAGCGGAAGCATTCAAAATTATGATTCTTCAATATTTTTTTATGTATAGCGCTTGCGGTAGACTAGCGAGGAGTGCGGAGCAAATCTTGTTTCAAGTATGGAGCATTCGTGCAGCCACGCCGCAAGAGAAGAGCAATTTTCTTGCTGTATCATTTTCCGCTGCGGAAAGTTGAACAGCGTTCTGATGCCGACATTTCGCTGACGAATCGTTTATGATGTGATGTGTTATATGCAATCTGTGGTTCAATTTCATGAATATCGAATCAAATAAGAATGCGAGCATTGCTCGTATGTCTCGCGGAAGTATAATTTCATCGTGTTCAATTTTCGTTTCCGTTTATATAGTGGAAGGATACTTTTATTTAAATATTTTGGTACGTGCTACTTGGAATGGTTGGAATTTCCCTGATGAGCTTTATCAATAAGTGATATCCGCATGTTTCGTGTGCACTAGAGTACATATTTTCCGGAGCTACATACTGTATGTCTAATAAGTATATTTTCACATTACTGTTGACTTACTATCTAAAAAGAAAACTTACATATTTACCTGTATTCTTATGTCGTCATCGATGTGTTTGAACAATCATGCCGTTCTCTATTTTTATCTGTACAAATTCAATTTTTTTCCGTAACCTTTGATTTATATTGAGAGAAAGAAGTGCATTTCTGCACTTCGTCAAAATTATTCGTGCATGTGAACTGTATACAGTATATGAATTCCCCCTTCAAGGTGATCCTTTTTTACTGGATAATGGTTGTGTGCTGTAACTACATGCCCAAAATTTTGATAGTGGAAGAATTTTCGTGATTTCTGACTGCATGCATGGGCTGGTCGATCGAAGTTTTCTAAGCATCTAAGGCACCTTTCTGGGGAAAATCGTGTTCAAATGAGGCTTGTGTTACCGTGGAGAATTAATATTTCGGGAAAGTGGGAAAAATTGTTTTTGTGAGTTCAATAAAAGTACGGATGTGGTCACTTTTTTCGGCATAGTACTGACGCAACGCATTTGCTCAAAAAGTTCATTTGTCAAGGTATATATTCGTTATCTGGAATCCTGAACTGTATACCGCGCTTCGAGGGATCAAGTCATGGGATCAATAAGTGATGAGACAATTAATTTCGGAAAGCCCCTGGATTTCACTTGCCCCAGAGCAATTCGAGTCTTACGCGAAGGCCAGAATAAGGTTCGTGTAAGAAGCGAGGAACAGCAATTTCGCGTGATGTACTTCACTGAACTAGGTTTGTTTTCTTGTGAAAAAAAGGCGATGAGCCTTACTAATCCTTGTGTCATGAAGGGTTGCAGTCCAAGATCTCCGACGTAAAAGTCCAGCTTATCGCGGGAATTTCTGATGACACGAATCAGCGGGCTGGCGTTCTTCCTTGCGGAATGATCAATGCGTCGAGCAAGTTTCTCGCGAGGATTATTCAATCGGAGAAAAGAAGGCTGCGGATGCTGCGTCAAATTAATAACAAGAAAGTTTCCTTGCACCTTCGTCCAGAATTCTTCGACAGAAAATCCGTGAATGCCGTGGTTACATTTATTTGTACTGGGAATATTCGGATTTCGGAAGCATTGTACCGGTGAGTCATTCTTGCCGCATGTACGGTAGTGTATTCTTCAGTTCCATAACAGTATAAAATTAAATTTAAAACTTTTATTCATGCAATTTTGACTGGAATGAAATACACTGTGTATTGTTCTAGCGATGATACCCAGGCAAAATAATATTTCTTGGTGTTCCATTGATCTCTTCGAATGATCATACAGTATTTTTATAGAAAATGTCGAACAGAAATTTCGCAAGCTTGCCGGGAAATGTTGGGATTAAATGGACAGAATTAATTTTTTTTATCTTAGTATGAGAAAGCAATGTGCACGTTCTTTTCGTACTGCAGGAGATTTTTGAACGCTTGCCACTTACTGAAGATCATCAGCAATATCCCTCTCGAGTATCTTCTGAACCTTAAATCCAAGGTCAACATTTGCTTGACTCCTGTCGAAGTTCAGATGTTGCGTCATCGTCGCCGGTGCGAGAAGAAAACATCTTTGAACGTGAGGAATCTTAATTCGAACAGACCGACCGATTAGGATGAGAAAAATTGCATGATCAACCTTAACCTGATCATAATTTCTCCTCAACCTTTCAAATAAAAACGATGATTTTTTTCGTCAGGATTTCTTCCTTTATTCATTTTGTTTAAGCCGGTGTCAAGGTTTTGTGTGATTATTCATACGCATGTATATTTTGAAACTTTTACAATTTTCACTCATAAAAGACTAATTGCAATATTGAGACCAAAATTGAATTTTCAACATGGATTGCTCCAGATCCGATCATTAAATTGAATGTCAGATGATGAAATGGTTTTTATATACTGTATTTCAAGATTTATCCCCGCAAGATTGCCGATTGCCTGTGGAGTGGTTGGATTGAAGACTGTACAGCCGTTATAGGATTCCGCCGTGTCTTCTTCTGTGACAGCTGCGTGGAAATATTTTATGAATTCAACTTCGCCTTATCGGTGCGGTTTTTCGTGTTCCTATAAGTTAACTCGATGGGCACGGGTGAAACGGATGCTGAGAAGCTTTTTTCGTCAGTGACATACTTCACAAACTTTTCCGTAATAGGTGTCTTCTTTACTGCTAATTCAGGATTGACCGATTTTGAAGATTGCATGCTGTGAATTGTTCCCGACCGAACCGTGCATTTAAAATTATTCTCAGATGTCTTGAAAAAGATTTGCCGAAACAGTACTGTACTTATTCTATGAAGTACAATATTTAATGGGAGCTTCGTCAGCCAATCTTTTTGGAAATTTTTCAAGTTGGCTCTTGTATGAAAAAGAAATTTAACCAAGAATGATGGGAAAGAGGCAAAAAGTAAAGAAGTTTTCCTTCTCAATAAAATCTTTTGAACAGGAGAAGAACAGATGCATTTATAGTGTATTGAAATTTAGCGACCAATCATAGTATGAATGGTCATACTGAATCCGCTTTTCCGTTTACGTTGATGATGTAAATATTTCTGAATCTCCTTCTCGGGGTAGAATACTGAAATCACTGGTGATACCTTCTCTTACCCGCTAACGATTTATGCGTGAAAAGGTAAAGTAATATTATTATCTTTTTATTCACTCTTTCATCGGACTGCTGTGCTGAAAAGCATAATATTCTGTCAACAATTTGAGGCTTTTGTAGACTTCGGCGATTGCTGATTCCAAAATTTGGATCTTGACAAATAAGAAAATTGCCTTTCTCTCGTTAGTGATAGAATTTAAAAATATTATTTTCTCAACAGTGTTTCTGGTGGAATCAAAATTGAATGTCGATACTGCTAACATTCTTTCGATTTTGTGTCGGATTTCTTGCAAAGAAGGCTTTGATGGTTTAATTTCATCATTTTTATGATTCTTTTCGCAGGAATTGGTTTTAGCATTGATTTTCGATTTCTGGATCATGTGTATAGTGCATTTTTCTGCGATATAACATCCCTTGGCTCTTATTATTCCTATATGCTAATCTTCTAGTCCAAGACATTTGAAATAATAGGATGGAAATGTAAGTATCTGAGTGAATACCAGCTGTCAGTGAATTTTCAGCAATTCACACAGCTCACTAAGTTAAAATGTTTATTTGTTCCAGGAATCCTTTTGCGCCACTCAATTTCCGCGTTGAATTTTCCCCTCCAGAGCAAATTTCCGGTGGGAGATTGAAATATGTTTGCAAAGCGCAGATGGATCGAATCAAGAGTCTCCAAAAATGTACAATCTTCAATAAGTGATGGTTCCTTCTAATACGAAAAGTGCTCGCGATGGAAGTGCTGTGAAGTGGAATAACTCGAGCCAAACAATTTTGAAGTTTTCAAAATTTTGTACTAATCATCTGTTGCTGTCGTCGGGTTTCTATATATTTTTTTATGTTTCCTCAAAGTTCACTCCGCATTGATTTTTCCCAGACACGAAGAAAGCAAAACGGTTCAATTTCGTGAAAATCATGGTGGGTCGGAAGAGGCGCTGCGTGAAAAACAGAGCAGTTCTTGAGCAATGCAGTGAAGTTTTGCGGAAACTTGTCGCTGATGCTGTTGATTATGCCAGGAAGAATTGCCGACTCGCCCCAGTCATAAAATTCAATTCAAGACTTTTGAATGCTGACTGCGTTATTGCTGCGATACATTTCCTGTCATCTGGACAAGCGATCATCGCAAAATCACTGAAGGAGTAAGTCGTTTGATCATTACTTTGTCTTGAGCTTTGCTTTTGCAGCATGTTACGGGTTAATTGAAATCTTGTGATGAAAAACCTTCAAGTTCGAATACATTTTGCGAAACTTTTTCCAATTGCAGACTACATAAATTATTTTAAACTAAATCAAAGCTCAGCATATGCTGAAACGTTTGGTAATTCGTGAAAGATGTTCATGATGATGGTCTATAAACAGCTGATCTGATATTGAATCTTTGGAGATTGATTTTTTCAAATGAAGGCGTTTGTTTATGGGACGTCTTTTTACATTGATAGACAAATCAGTGAATTATAAATAACTTGTTCTCATCTCCCTTGTAAAATTAGGCGAACGAAATTTTGAAGGATAGCGTCATCATTATCAGAATTCCGTCAAGTACGTACGTCAATCAGCTGGTTTTTGGACAGAATGTTTTGCTGTACCAGTATTTACGAATACCGTACTTTTGGATGCTGATTTTAATGATTTTCTCAAATTGTTTATGCCCGTATAGTGATTTTTTGCTGACGATGGAACGCTTGGGAATATGCGTCAACATTCCGGACAATATCGGAAAGAACGTGACCAACGTTGATCTCCTAGAAAGAAGCAAAGACTTGAACGCATCGTCAGATTCCATGTCCAACATGCAAAGCGACGTGACATACGTTCCCCCAGTAAGTTATTAAGAGTAGTTGAATGAAAACGCGGTTTTTTGGTTTGCAAGCAAAGGTTGTGAGGAAGTTTTCTTTCAGAATCATTTGAGACCATTCAAGAAAATCGAATGCTCTACGAGAATGACACGGTCAGCAATAAGTTCTTCTAAGTACCAAGAAAGACAGAAGTCCTTTGCCGGTGATGAACGGAAATTGGACGAAGTACGTCACAATGGATGTCCGGATCTTGTGAGTGATGATAGAATCAATAAAATATTATTAATTCCATTCCTCCATGTGCGACTTGACCAGCAGCACGCTTGGTTCTCCACCTTGATAATTTTGATTATTTCACATTTTTTTCCAGAAATATAAAGTTGAGGTTGATTTTAGAATGAATCTGCTTGTACCATTTCAATTCACTCGTTTATTATTAACATCTGTAATTCAAAGTCAGTAGTGCATATTGATTAGTTTGTGAGGGAACTTCTATGCATTAATTTGCGACAATTTTTGCATTGGTTTTGATGTAGCGATTATTTTGTCCTGTAATGAACAGTATTTATCACGAATTTTGATGTGCATTTCTCCTACTATTTAAAGATGGGAGAACAAATTTTTCCGTCGATTGATTTAAAAAAAAATGAAATTATGCTTTTCTCTATAGCTATCCTTTCAGGTTTTGGCTCAATAAAAGCACGTTGAGGTCTATAAAAATTGAAATGAACAGTGGGAGGTCATATGAAAATACATGAATTTTAAGCAGGAAATATGGTCACATATGTAATTCCCTTTATTTTTTAAAATTCTGCTATCAACTCAATCAAAGCTCGCAACATATTTTCGATGTACTGTATATTAGTAAGTCAAAACGAAAGTTGAGTAAAAGCAAGAGAATTATCTGATTTGCAGACGGTTCCGGTTGATCGAAACGAATTAGTTCAGCAATGGGTTGTCACGTTACCCGATGAGACGGAGGATTTGGAGGAAGATGCGCATTTGTTTTCGCAACTCGGTAATACGGATCTGAAAAATAGTAAGATGATATAAAACATTTATTTTATGCCTCGATTGAAAAAATAAATCTCGTTGTTGCTCATATAGCTGAAGGTGACAAGTTGTTGTTGCCGAGACGTGAAAGTAGCAGCAGTGGTGTTCAAGCTGTTGCGATTTCAAAGTTCAAGAAACCTGTGGACTACCTTCAAACGACGAAAGCAGCCCAAGTGGTAAGTCATTCGAATAAAAGTATAATTTCGTGGCAAAACTTAGCTTTATTTTTATCTGAGTTGGTGTACCATGAGCCTTTCACTCTTCGTCGCAAAATATCTGCGCCTGTTCTTTCCTCACAGGTAATCTCTTCATTTATCAGGTGCAAAACATATTATTCCAGAGATTTTCAGCAGATGCTCCGCTATCATGCATGTCCGAAAAAATGAAGAAACAAGGTTGAAAGAAGAGAATAATTCGAAGAAAAAATTAGAATCAATCGGCGTTTTATTTGAATCAATATATATATATATTCGGCCAAAGAGGGCCACAGGAAACATGTCAATGAAGTCAAGACTAAAATGTGTTTGATTTGAGCAGGTAATTCAGTCTTCTTTTTTACATACTCGTGGTGAATCAAAAACGGATTTAGGAGATCTGATTCTTTGTTGATGGCATTGAAGGAATACCGTGTATAAGATTTCCTAAAGAATAAGCGCGTGAATTATCGTCTTCCTTGAATTCAACGCTTCGTCGACTGCATATTTTAAAACACATTTTTCTTTCTCCCAAAAGCAGCTTCCCGAAAAGGAAAGTGGATCTCACGCTATTGCTGAAATTCTTTCCCTTGACGAGGCAGAGAAAGAAAAGGCAAATCGAACTGCTTCGCCATTTCTGCAAGACGAAGAGGCATTTTTCGCGTTCGATACGTTCGTAATACGATATGAAATTGAATAATATTTTTTTCGCAGGATACCCAAGAACACCAGCAGCAGCAGCAATCCAAGAGCAAGCAAAGTTTCTTGTCAATCAGTAGCTTATCTTATGATTCTGAAGACCCACCACTGAGCTTTTCCGAATGCCGGAAAAATCTGTTCCAAGTGAGAATGCTGAAACGAGAAAAAAATAATTAAAATTGGGAATACATTCCTCCAGAAAAACGTAAATCCAATCGCGTGCTAGGCCGGTTTAATTCCAGTACTGTATTTCGTGCTCTTCAGAGTTTTTTTTTTTCGCTGTTTTATTGTATGTAAAGGGATCTAAAATTGTACTGTCAGTGATGGCTTGTGTAATCCCTCTATATAACGAATGTTTGAAGGTGCATAATGACGAATTTTTTGGTATTGTTTACACGTCGCCGGCCGTCAAGAATATTTTCATGTAGCCATGAGTAATCCATTTATTCTATTTTGGAGTTATTTTCTTGTATGAAGATATAGATCAATTTCGTTGGGTTGATTGAGTTATGGTCTGCCTTTGAAAAAATTTCGCTGAAGCTTAGAGTAATTACTGTATTTTCAGTCCCTCTCGATAATTTATGAATCCATTTTCGGCGTGCGTTTCACTCGGCCGTCATGTAGCACGCAAAATCCCAATTTTTCCTCTAAACTCATCTAAAGTAACTTCATGCATCTCGAATCTTGCGAATTTTCAAGTCGTATTGACGAAAATTATTTGCTTCCTGTACCGCTGAATGTGATGGAATTTTTTCTCACCAGTCTTCGGGATATTTGATCTTATAGGCGTGCATAGAAGAGATATCATCGACTGACATTGGGAACCGGAGATCCTCCATAGGGGTTTGCTCTTCGGAAGAATTCTTGAAGAGAAGGAATCGCGGCCAAATTTCTTGGCTAGAATTCGACGCTGTGATGGTGAGCTCTTCAATGGCAATCATTGATACTGCACTATTTTTTTATAGAAATTAAATCATTTTGGCTAATTCTATCTTACGACGAAAAACATTTTCGCAGCCTGAAATTCAAGCTCAGGGTTCAGGGAAGAAGATGAAGATCCAAGAAAACGTTCGGAAATGTGAAGAAATTCCAACGAAGGTGATCCTGAATTATTTTATTCACCAGTTGCAATTTCAATTTTTGCCCTAAAAAATCAGGTGATTTTTCCCTGGCTCAAAATTGGACGAAACGAATAAGATTTTTTAAGTCGCCATGCCCTTCTCAATTTGATCCGTTTCGGCCGATTTTTGAGGCTCAGTATACCTTGCAAAATGCGTTTGATCAGAAGGCGTGATTTTCTTGCTATACAGCGAGTATATTCATTTCAAGTTGTTCATTATTGTTATCATGTATTGTTGATCCCAGGTCACTGTGTCGTAAAATTTTTTCTGGATTATCTGCTCAATTTGTGAATATGTAGATTGAGAAATCAACCAGCCTAGTACATAATCGACGTTCAACTTAGTTCGGTATTTTGGCACGTCAAATAAATGAATGAATTGCGATTTAACAAAGTAGTGGGTTTATAATCAAGGTAAAGTATTTCCTTCTTTCAGACACCAACGGGCACTGCAGATGGAAATACTTTCAATGCGGCATCGACATCTAAAGATGATGCGAAGCAAAAAGCATTCTTCAGGGAACTGTTCGCCTGTCATCACGCGAGTCGCATGCAGAAACTTGCCCAAACGAATACTGATGCGAGTTTCTTTTCCTTTGTTATTTTAGGGTAGCTGAAACACAAAAAGTATTTGCCCCAGAGAAAGGGGAAAAAAAGTTTTTAAAGATTTTCCCCTTGTTTCTATTGTCATCCTTGGTTATACAGTACACTAATTGCTGCCGTAACATCTGTTGGATGTGTGAAATTGATTTTCATATGCGTATTTTTTCGTTAACGTCCTTTTTTACTATCGAGGAAATCGAGGTTGGAGAAGAGTTTCGCGGGAACGAATTCAGGTTTTTTTCTCTAGCGGAAATTTTCATCCTGAATTTGCGATTTTATTTTTAAAGCTCGAGGCGTTCAACGTGGAGAAGACTCTGTGGACAGCGGTGCCAACGGAATGCACCTCCTCGGAAAACTTTCAGTTTTTCTGTGACAGGTGTACTGCTGTACTTAGAACCTCGCCTTGACCTCATATGCTGGGAGCTGAAGGAAAGGTGCCTTTTCTGTTGAAGCGATGCAGTTTTTGTGATGGACGTTTTTACGACGACGGGGCTATATAAGCACGATTCTGAAGAATGCGGGAAAAAGAGTTATATGTGTCTTTTGAACGCTGCTCAATTTTCTACTGCACTATATGATCAAAAAATCCAAGACTTCATGTTTCTTTTCTTGATGCATAGATGAAATGAATTGAAAAATTCGTGTTTCACATTCACAGTACAGTACTGCGTATACGAAGGCAGAATTCTCTTCGGTCGACTTCGGCAGCCTTTCGCGTGTTTTTAATGATGTAGGGGATTGAGGCAGGGGAAAAAATGTTGTACATGGAGAAGGGATAAGGAGGCAATTTTTTTAATTCATGGAAATTTTTTGTTCTTAATGGTGAGTATCAGTGTGACCGAGAAAATTGTCGAACGAGAAATTTGAAGCTGCTGCTAAATGTATACAGTTGAATTTCAAGGCACACCTAAAACAATTTTGAGTTGGGGTGGGAGGATTTGAGTTTGAGAACTATAAGCATTTATATTGTGGGAAAGAAAGAAGAATTGCAAGGATTTGTATATGGTGGCATTCTGGGCTTTAAAGTGCTTCTCAAATGAGTTGACAGGATGCTAAACTTGGAAGCAAGGGTTACCTACTTGGTCTTCCATTTCCCGTCAAAAGACATTGTTTGTTTGTTACCGCTTCTTTTTCCTGTGTCAATAAATTAATAGCCAAAAGGCTAAAATTTGAGTCATGGGGGTTTGAGAGGAAAAGCCATGAAATTGAAGAAGTTTTTGATGCATTGATTAAAAAGAAATTCAGACAGGGACTCAAAAAAAATCAGCTTGAGGAGGTTTGAGTTATCCACATTCAAGTATACTGTAATATGTTTGCCACTATAAAGCCACATAAAAATTTCTGCATATTCTTTTCCCAATCCAACCAACACTTCTTGGGATTATCGCGCTAATCAGAACTGTACCTTCTTTTTGAAGTCATTGATTATTCTACAGCAGCAAACAACCCGTTCAGATTTCTTATTGACGAAAGTTATACTGTACTTCGCTTTCGATTAACTTATGGTCCCTGTTATTAGTCAGCAATTACCATACAGTGTTGAAGTTTTCGACGTGAAAGCGTTCCGATCAAGAAAACTCCCTCCTGATGTCTTGTTTTCTATCTCGAACGCCGAATCATATACATATACTTCCAGGAATGTGAGGTATATACAGATGGACAGTGAATAATGCATTTGAATAGGTAATGGAGGCTGTTTTCATGCGACATCTACGCAGTGTTGAAGGATATCCAAGAGCCAGAAGCTACAATTTTTAAACCTTGCTTGTTGACACATTTGTTCGATGATGAAGCTTCTGCAGTCTGCTGCTTCATTCAAGAAAATTCTTATCTTAAGTGGCACATCTTTTACTCTAAATCTTTTGCGGAAATGGCTTAACAAATATCAGAAATTTCGCTAAAATTTGTTTGTTTTTTTCAGCCGAGAAAAGTTATTCAATCGTGTCAATAAGTGTGCAACCATGCGCGGGTTCCATTCAGCAGCATCTGCGAACATAGATGGCTTCCAGAACATATCGGACTTGGCGCCCTACGTGTCCAACGTGCGAATCGTCGGCGTCGTCATTGCGAGGTCTTCCGTGAAAACTTTTCAAGGTGAGAGACGTATTTTTTATTTTTTGCATAATTTTATACTGTATAAGCCAGTTTTTTTGTGTTCATCTCAACATGGAAAATATGTCACATGCAAGTGATGCATTTGCCTCAATCGTAATTTATGATTTCCTTCAAGGAAAAGGTTTTCAAAGTACTTTATTGTGCAGATATATTATAGTCAGCGAATCAAATTTCCGAACAAGTTTACCACAAAGTTTTCAAACGTGGAAAGCAAAATATTTAGCAATAAACCCAGGAAACCCCCTTGTAGACGTCGTTCTTGAATTCCTCTTAGCCAACCAACGTATTGAAAATGTCCCTTTT